GGTGATATTAGTGGTGTCAGTAGTGGTGTTATTTGACAGTCAAGTGTGCCACCACACGCCCTCTATTTAACACATACGGGTACCATCTTGTCCTCTCTTTGTATTTAAATTCTAGATACTAAAATAATAACTAGATAAAAAATGAAGATAATTTCAAAAGCATGACATAACCTGCTAGAGGCAAATGACTTGTATAAGAAATTGTATCTCGGCACATCCTTATGTTACTTTGTATGTGATAAAGACCATTGTTTTAAGGAGTCCCTGACTTTACACGTAACATTTTTTTAAAAAATGGTCTACATTTAAAAATGATAATATTCCTATAATAGAATGTAGTCATTTTATTTTCTATATTTACTGATACCTTACACATGTTTCTTTGGAAAAAAAATGGTGTATGTGGTTAACAAGTCGAGTGGTCAGGGACTCACTTAATCTCTGAAAGTCGCCATGTTAAAAATGGTTTAATCTTATGATTCCAATGTTAACGAATTATTTTAATTAAGTAATTTTAATGTTATAGGCAAAAAACAACTACAACAAATGTATGACTCAAACATGTATTTTTTTTGTCTGGGTAATTTAACTCTTGCATACTATTTATAAACAGACACACCAAAGTTCAAATTTCAGGATTTCAAGTATGCTCCAGTCACGGTGCATAAAAGTATTTTACCCTCAGTGACAATATTCGGGAATCAACTTGAAGAAGGTGAGATACATGTAATGCTAAAAAAAAATTTTAAAATTGGAATTTAAAAAAAAAATATATATTTTGTTAACAATGTGTGTAAAATCATCTTTGATAGAATTACATTGCATTTGTCAACTGAGATATTCATTTCTGAGAAGTGAAGTACTAAGACATTTTATTATTTTACTACGTTGAGTCCAAATGGCCAAAGGTGCTGAATATGTCTTTGTGGGGGAAAAAACCCCCCAAAAAACTTAAAATTAATACATTTAAATAGACTTATTCAAGATTAAGACCTTGGTCTTTGTTTTGCTTTAATTCGCACAGAGTTTTTTTGAACAACATAACAAGGGATAATGTCTCTAAAAAGAAAAAAAAAAGCCCAACCATATCTTATCATAACTTGGATATAGACACATTTTAAAGGCGATGCTATACGTGTTGTGGTGTGTGGTATCACCACATGCAGCCAGTTGTGGGCTTCTAAACGCAACATTGAAACGCTGTGCTTGGGAACTTTTTTTTTTTTTTTTTCAAAATGATTTTTTTTGTGGCCTGTTTAGTGTTGGGATTGTAAAGGGGGGAGGGGAGCGTGAACTGGGGTACAAGGTCAAAAGTTAATAGTTGAAAATCTAAAGGAAAAAAAAAAAAAATTTCAAAGTGATTTTTTGTGTGGCCTGTTCAGTGTTGGGATTGTAAAGTGGGGAGGGGAGCGTGAACTGGGGTACTAGGTCAAAAGTTAATAGTTGAAAATCTAAAGGAAAAAAAAAAAAAGACAACGCAGCAACGGACGTGTCGGCTAAATGCCTCCTCCAGTGAAGAAGAAAAGTGAACATAATAATGAAACTAAAATAACTTATATGATGTTGAGGCAAGGTCCAGGAAAAAATATAATAAACCATAAGCTACTTATTTCAGTTAAGATGAAGGAATAATATATTATTGGAAGCCAGCATATGTTTTCACATTGTAATTTATTGTAATCACAATTAACAACCATTAGAAGCAACAGAAAATATAAAACAAAATTGCAACGATGCATTCTAAAGCCTCAGTTTGTCTGCTGGGGTCCACCTCCAAGTGGACTAAGAGGTAATAAATCAATGGTAACAACATGCTTTTTGATTAACTGTCTTACATTAATAGATGAGATTCTTATGGGCCGATGCTACTGAAAGTAACTTATGGGATAGATACAAACCTACCCTGTGTATTGAATATGTCTAAATCAGAAGAGTTCAACTTGACTTAGACATTTCTACGACAACACTCTCATATCCACTTCTTTTGGGCGCACACGGCTCCCATGCCTTGACCCCAACCTCCATTTCAATCAACCCTTAACCCTCACCAAGATCAGTGATTCTCAACCGCCCTAATGCCGCGCCCCTGTTATACAGTTCATTATGTTGTGGCGACCCCCTATCACAAAATTATTTTAGTTGCTACTTTATAACTGTAGAGTACATGTGTTTTCCGATGGTCCTAGGCGACCCCTGTGTAAATTGCCACCGCCCCCCCCCCCCTAATTTCAAGGTTTTATTTAAATTGCTATATTCACTGGGGCCTCCAGTAATAAAGAACTTAACAAGCCGAACAAGTTAGTTCATTATGTTGTGGCGACCCCCTATCACAAAATTATTTTAGTTGCTACTTTATAACTGTAGAGTACATGTGTTTTCCGATGGTCCTAGGCGACCCCTGTGTAAATTGCCACCGCCCCCCCCCCTAATTTCAAGGTTTTATTTAAATTGCTATATTCACTGGGGCCTCCAGTAATAAAGAACTTAACAAGCCGAACAAGTTTTGGTTTTGCCCCCCCTCCCCTTGAAAAAAAACCCCTTTGGAATGACACCCTTCATGGGCCTAATCTATAGTAGCTGATTGATCATTTTCATCTTACGGCATGGATATAGTCAACATTTACCTCATCTAACCATTCAACACTTAAAATAGAAGCAATGTCTGTTTGAGTAATAATTGCCATAATCCTCTGTCTCCTGGCTGCTACTTGCATCGAATCATTTTTTTTTTTTGTTGTCGAGGAGCAGGTGGTAATTTCTTATGCATTGTCGGTTCAACGTGACTTGTGATACAAGATAGATGTTACAGATTTTGCAAATCCGTTCAAGCAGCGATTTTATTATTGTCACTCACTTTGCTTTCCCCCAATTCTCAAAACCTGCAGGCCAAGAGTGGCCAATTTCTGATTGCTGTTGCACAAACAAAGTGTGCTCACATTCTGACCAGCCATCTGCAGTGCACAGACAGACACACATTAAAGAAATATTATTTTGTTAAAAGCCTAAACATTATATGATGATTTACAATAATTTACACTTATTCATTTTTTTTCAAAAAAACGTTATAATCAGTCAATTTTTTTTATTTTAAAATGTTAATGGAGAAAACGTGATTGCTGACGTCATCTAATCTAAACCCCTTGTCTACAACTGTCAAACATTTCCAACCACTGTTGGCATAATGAATGGTTGCCCATTTGTGCTAAAAATGTCTTAACTTGTAGAACTGTGGATCTCAACTTTTTTGATGACCGACCCCCAACTATAAAAACTTTTACGTAGCTACTTCATAACTTACGCGTTTATTTGTATTCTAATGTTATTAGGTGAACCCTGTGAAAGAGTCGTTCCGTCCTCAAAGGGGTCGCGACACACAGGTTGAGAACCGCTGTTGTAGATCATCAGTTTTTTTTTTTAAATTAACAAAAATTCTAATTTACAATAAAAAGCACCAAAAGAAAATAAATATTTCTATTGTGCTCATCTGTTTACAGGTCCTGTTTTCAGCCAAACAGATCACGTCTTGAGTTCTTTAAACCTCCACACAGACGATTCCATTCATGAGTACGTAAGAGGTGTTGACGTCTCCAGAGATGGCCTGGTCATACAGTTCACCGGCATGAGCAATTTTTTTTATACGCTTTTATTTTAGCTTGCGATTTTTTTTTTGGTTTGTCTGTGTCAAATCTTGCGTCTCACTTTAAGCCACTTCCTCATATCCGATTGTGTTGAAACAAAACAAAATTGTTTTAATGGACGGCACCCAACGTTTTTTTTTGATAGTCACAGGACTCTGAAGAGTTGGGAAAAGTTTATTTTATTATTTTTAGTACATCTTTTAATTATTTTTTTTAAAAAGTCTTTAAAAATTAATTTTTAATTTTTATTAAGTACTTATATAATTTTACAGCTTACTCCCGGCGATGAACGAATCCCAAACTTTTATGGCGAACACTATTCTTTATTGTGGTGATTAGCTGTTCAATTTGAAAACTAGATCCATGAATATGAGATGCTCCTATAAAACAACAAATTGATTTGAGATATCGTATGAAAAGAGAGCACTCGTTGGCGTCTATTTCAGAATACACACTAATTGAATTTTAATGAAGAAGTTTTACAGCCATTAAAAGCAAGATTTTACCATAACATAACTTAACTTATCAAAGCCAAATTCTGATTTTTAATAGTCTTCATATCATTATAGATGAAATATTTTATATATTTAGCTGAAATTAAATTAGCATAAAAATCATACTAAAATGTATTATTACTATTTTTAAAAGTAACTTTCAATTGTTCTTACATCCACTTTCTAATGTTTTCATTATTGTTAGATTCAATATCTAATGTGTTCTTCATTGGCATATTCACCATCTCATGTGTTCATTATTGTTAGATTCAAATGTCTAAAGTGTTCATTATTGTTACATTTACCGTCCCCTGTGTTCCTTATTGTTACAATAACCGTCTCATGTGTTCACCGCATGGTGTGTTGACTAATGTTTCCTTCAATCTGATGAAGGTCTCTACTATGTGTACAGTAGCGTCAAGTTTAAAGTGAATACCACAAGGAGCTCAGACGTATTTGCTCAAAAGGTATAATGAACAGGGATCAGCTTTTAGCGATTTCTATGCTAAAATTAATGTATACAGCTCCTAGCAGTGACGTAAGAAGAGGTGCTGAGAGGGCAGTTCACCCGAAAAGCGGGGGGGGGGGGACTTTTTAGTTTATAATTAGAGTTGGCATTTTCACACAACTACAGAGATTTATTTCCTTCAAGTGAGGCCACAAGAATAAAATCTTAGCAGTTAGCCAATAATTACTCCCCTCTATATATAAAAAAAAAAAATATTAAAAATTGCGAACCGCCACCACCATACCATCCCCTCCCTCATCCCCCCCCTCTTTCTTTTTGCCATCACACGGCTTTAACCATTCTTGAACCGACCAACTCTCGTAGTTACTGACCAACACTAAAACTGGTTTAACTTATTATAAACATGTTTTTAACCTGTTGCAGACCTGGTTTCATTACGTTCACCGCATTAGTCCCAACTCACCGAATAATTCCGGAGTTCTTCTGCGCTCGGTTCACACGTGTTGCTGGAACTGCAGTTTTGCACAGGAAACAGTTTATACACGTAGCTTCATTTTTTTAAAATTTCATTAAAAAAATATATATATATGTATAATGAGTTTAATTTATGTAAGGTTTCACAAGAAATGGGGGGAAAAAAATTAGAGTGTAATTTTGTTTAAAATTCATTAATTCCTAAAATATGCAAAAAAAAAAAAAAAAAAAAAAAAAAAAAAAAAAAAAAAAAAAAAAAAAAAAAAAAAAAAAAGGAAAAATAAAAATAATAATAAGAAGAAACAAAAAACCCAACCATATTTATTAAATATGTATGATCACAATGTATTAATTATGGTTTGATGAAGCTTTAAAAAAAAAACGAAAGCATTTTGTTTGTCTGTTTTGTTTTAAATCACCAGGGTTCTCGGTAAAAATCACGTTAATTTGTAACTATGAGAATATTATAATTTAAAAAAATATTTTTTATTTTTTCTTCTCCTAAAATAGAAGGATTATTTCATTTGAGCAAAGGGGACATAATACAGATCTGCTTCTCAGGCCAAGGATTAGTGGACTTTGACCCTAAATCAACATTTGTTGGTCTATTTATGTTGGAAAGTAGCAGAACTTAATATACATCAATATATGAATTTATGCACCAAAGTAATTTCTTTAAAAATGTGATAGACATTTATGTTTTATTTTAGGCGAATAAAATCAATTTAAATTCTATAAAATAAAAAATAATATTAACAATTTTTTAAAATATTTATCTGAACGCAAGAGTTAATTATTTTCATTATATTTTGAAATCGAAAAAGATACTGGATTTTTGGGTTGTCCCAAGATGCAGCCCCCAAGCCCCCTCTCCCCCCCCCCCCTCAAAAAAAAAAATTTTTTAAAATATTTATCTGAACGCAAGAGTTATTTATTTTCATTATATTTTTAAATCGAAAAAGATACTGGATTTTTGGGTTGTCCCAAGATGCAGCCCCCAAGCCCCCTCTCCCCCCCCCCTAAAAAAAAAAAAGACCGATACAACCATGTCATTTTTTATATTATCATTAATTTGAAAGCAATCATATTTTTAAAAAAAATAACTATTGTAGTTTTAGTATTAACCTCAACGCTCGATTTTATTTTGCTTAAAACCATTATATTGTACCCCGAAAATTTAATTAAAATGGTAATATGCTTTCCGATCCATTTGTTTTATTGCTTTGAATTTATGTTCAGATGATCTCACCGTAAATAGTATGGTCTAATGACATACGATCTAAATAAATTTTACCGGTTTCAAATGGCACGCGAATGGTCAGCATTAACTTTTCTTGATTTTAACTAGGTGACAAAACTAATGTTTTCCCCTCTTGATTTAAAAAAAAAAAAATAAGTTTGAGTTCTTGTTTTTAAATCCCAACTTTCAAGGAAAAAATTGGAACTCAATGTTATAAAATGGTTTTTAAAAAAAAAATGTGTATCAAGCAATATTTTCCAATATTCCCCCATTTTTTAGTGTATATATAACTTAAAATAAAATGTGGGAACTATTTATTTTACCATTTTTTGTTTTTACATTTCAAGGGCCATGAAACTTTCGTAAAATCGTGGGTGGGGGGGGGGATGGTGGGGGTGGGGTGGACATTTTGAAATCATGAGCTCCACACCCGATTATTATACATATTGAACAGTGGTAATGCTTTAAATTTACAAAAATAAGTAGCCATATTTTTTAAATACACAGAAAAAAAGCGATGAACTATTTAAAAAAAAAAATAAATAGCTACGAATTACATTTCGAGGTTAAAGGTGGTTGTGAAAATAGAACATTAATATAGATCGGGGTCAGGCACCAATGCTGAGATGGCGTTTTTAATGGGGATACTTAACAAAGTGTGAGATGCGCTACAGAATATGTGGGGTTATGTCATGGGTAGAGCAATATCTCAACGTTACAACAGGTTACACACAGGAAAACTATATAGATAGTTTAAAAAAACTAATGATATGATGTATTTAATTTTCATTGCAAGTACATTTCAGTCGGAGGAAAGATGACGTATTAATGTTTTATGGGAATATCATAATGTTTAAATCGATGAAATAAATCCGTAAAAGGAGGGTTTTGAATTTCTTTTTTAAAAATTTTTTTTTTTAAAAATGCCAGTTAAATTAATTTCGGAATGTGCAGTTCAAGTGCCTTGAAACATTTTGTAGAAACTTTATCCACATATGTAATCATAATTCAAATCTCCGTGAAGTTGCAAAGAGGAAAAATAGTGGGTACGATTTTCTATAAGACAAAGGATATGTATTTTGTCCATTTTTCAATACACAGTTCATGGGGGAGGGGGGGAGGGGGGACATAATTATGAGGATAGAAATATTAAATGTTTACATTAAATAATGCTGTGTACATATTCCGTGAAAATTGTATTTAAAATGTTAAGAAACAATAGTGGGAACATTTTTATGCCAATAAGAATATCGGAAACATCAATAATTTTACAGGCGTCGACATTTAATCTCTAAAAATAGATTTATTTCCGTTTTCAAGACGCAGTACTACAGCTCAGTGGTATGAACAAGCAAAGGTTAACATTTTCTTTAAATGAAAGGAAAAATTAAGTTTCCATTTTGCGCAAATTACATTTTAGGAGCATAGTGCACATTTTCATGAGCTTTAGAATATATATATATATATATATATATATATATATATATATATATATATATATATATATTATTATATTTGTTGTTGTAAAATCTGCACTTTCAATCTACTCTCCAAACACTTTAAAATACGGATTCGGCTTAGCGATTTTTTGATAATATGGTTTAGGCGCGAGAAAGATGTTGGGTACATTTATAATGTCAATAGACACAAATTATCAAAATCGCGTTAATGCTACAGATATTTAAAATAGTAAATATCACTTGTTTTCTTAAAGTAAAAGACACAATAAAAAAAAAATTGTGAACTTCATAGACGTTGAAAATAGGTTTGTATGCTTATAGGATATAGAAAGAAAAAATTCACAAAACCAAATGATGTGAGAAACATATCTATCTATACATAGATAAGCTTTCAAAATTATGAAAGTCTAATTTTTATAATTTGCTATATATTCATTTCAAAGGCGTTGAATTTGTTGAAGTTGTTGTTTATATTTTGATACAGTACACCAAACCCCGCGTCTGTTACATTAGTAAAAAAAAAATTGATTTTTACAAATTTTTACTTTGAAAGAAAAAGTTGGAGATTAGTGCAATATGCCTTCCATTTTTACCTCGGCAACACTTGTTCATATATTTATTTATTTATTTATTTAGGCATTTTTATATAGCGCTTACCTTAAAGCTCTAAGCGCTTTACAATTATTAAAATCATGTTAACTAAGTAAAATAAAAATGAGACACTAGGATAGTAACTACTATACTATAGAAACAATTAAAATGTCTATAAAACGAGGACACTTTGGCATATATAGGGTATATATTCTAGTGGTCTATAAGTGAATTGATGGGTTTAGGTCAAATTTGAAAGGCTTGCCCTTCATATACCATATTAGAATAGCGTTTGATGCTTAATTAATAATATCCACTTTTGGGACCGGATATTTTTTCTAAAATAATTAAGGAAAAAATCTTTATTGTTCCACACAGATATAAAGATTATAAAAATTTCAATGTGTCATATCGTTTATGGAAATTTTAGTTAATTTAAAAAAAAAAATCAATTTCAATACTTTCTTGTGAATTGTCTTTATACAGACTTTTGTAAGTTTCGTAAGTTTCTAAATTTTTCGATAACCTTTCATTTTTATAAAAGATTTATATATACATCAATGTCGTTTTTTCATGTTTCTCATGTTTCTATAAGTTTATAGGATTTCCCTAAAAAATTATGAAGCATTCTTCAATCAGAGTTAAGGCTTTCCTTTCTTAAGTTTCTATTAAGTTCAAATATGTAGTAGGCTCTAAGATTTATGTTCATTAAAATAGACGCATGTATGCCAGGAGGCTTTGTTTACAACGTAAGTCTCTATGTCAATTGTCGCATCTAGACCAGGTCAACACATCTATCATGTTTCTTTTAAAATATTGGTAATTTCATACCATTAACGGCTACACTTTTTTTGTCATATGCCTTGAACTGTATTTTTAAAAAAAGGACGCTATTTCTTTGGCGTCACCTGTTTCAGTTCGATTAGTCTTTAAAGCATAGCCATGAAGAGTTGTTTTTGCTTTTTTTTTTTTTTTAAAATGGGGATATGTTACAGATGAATCTATACATCTTTAATTTGCTGGTTAGCGAAATGTTTTGGGCAAGGCCATAAATTAACGTGACGCTGGTAAGCTTCAAAAGATTTGTTTCTTTTCTGAATTCAAACCCGAGCAGCGCTGGGTATATTAGCTAGTATGTAAGAATAAACTAGGGTATATAAAAAATAAAAAAAAAACTATTTTAATACGCTCAGCTCAGATGCTTAGAAAGAATAAGAGGGTTTTTTTCTTTTTTTTTTTCTTCTTTAGAATCTAGAAAATATCAATGAAATATAAAAATTAAATATAACAATTAAATATAAAAATTAAATATAACAATTAAATATAACAATTAAATATAACCATTAAATATAACAATTAAATATAACACTTAAATATAACAATTAAATATAACAATTAAATATAACAATTAATTATAACAATTAAATATAACAATTAAAAAAAAATCGAATTTAACAGACCAGATTCGTTTAAAGCAATTCATTCTGACAGTGGTGCGACATATTAATTCATCGTAACTTTTCACCCACCTCCTTGAATCTTAGAATACATCTCATCAACTAGTTCTTATTTACCGGTCGATGAATTTGGCAGGCCATTTAACCAATAAGATTTTCCATTTTTTTTGTTTCAATTCCCCTTTTCGCACTCAGAAGGGACAAGAGTTTTAGGGACTTGCTTGTTTGATGCCGCCTTCCTGCTATTAAAGCACATGTGGGATATAAGTACCAACAGTTGCTACCAACGCCTCTGTAGCTAAGTGAATGACTTTGATATATTCACTTTACATATAAAAAATAAAATTCAGAATCAAACATGGTTTTACTTGCACACTGTGCTGCTTTCTCTTTTCTACCACACCTTCCCCCACTTTGATTGTTTAGGCTCTAATATCTTTAAATGTATTTTGTCGGGTGATGGAATTTCTATCCTTTCTTTTCTGGAGGGTTCTAAAATCCTCCCTATGAATAAGCCGGCAGTTTTCCAAGCCGAGACAGATTTGTAAAAAATTGTCCTAGACATTTACGAGACTTAATATCATGAAGGGAGCCTTACAAGATTGTACTCTATATGTGTGTTTGTGTATATAGTAATATGTTTATCTTTCGTAGATTATACTTTTTCAACAGCAGTATTTTACTATATTTTACAAATTTCTTAATAGTTGTTTTTATATTTTTATATAAACTTAATATAATAATTAAATAGAATATTTGCCAATATAAAAGCTTTCATATCGTTTTTCTTTGTATACTGTCCTTTGTAACGTATTGTTCATTTAAAAAGCCAAATATTAACTCTGATTAAAATTCCAAAACCTTATAACGGTACTTTACAGCAGTTA